TGCTTCCTATGGTAATAAGTACATCCTTGTTGCTGTGGACTACGTCTCCAAATGGGTTGAGGCCATTGCTTCTCCAACTAATGATCATAAGGTTGTCTTGAAGCTGTTCAAGAGCATCATATTCCCCAGATTTGGTATACCTAAAGCAGTGATCAGTGATGGTGGCTCTCATTTTATCAATAAGGTCTTTGAGAGCTTGTTAAAGAAGCATGGTGTGAAGCATAAGGTGGCTACTCCTTATCATCCTCAGACCAGCGGGCAAGTAGAAGTATCCAACCGACAGATCAAAGCCATACTCGCTAGGGTTGTTGGTGTTTCAAAGAGAGATTGGTCTACCAAGTTAGACGATACACTTTGGGCTTACCGGACGGCATACAAGACACCAATAGGAAGGACTCCATTCCAGATGTTGTACGGGAAGTCATGTCACCTTCCGGTTGAAGTTGAGTATAAGGCCATCTGGGCTACCAAGCTGCTAAATCTGGATATAAAGGAAGCTCAAGAGAAGAGATCGGTTGATCTGCACGAACTTGAGGAAATAAGGCTAGAAGCTTATGAGAGTTCAAAGGTGTATAAGGAAAGAACAAAAGCTTTCCATGACAAGAAGATTACACCAAAAGACTTCAAGGTTGGAGACCAAGTCTTACTGTTCAACTCCAGACTCAAGCTATTTCCCGGAAAGCTCAAGTCACGGTGGTCCGGTCCTTTCACTATCAAAGAGGTTCTACCATTTGGTACAGTATCACTGTTTGCTAAGGATGGGTCAGAGTTCAGAGTGAACGGCCAAAGACTCAAGAAGTATCTTGCAGACAGTATCATTCCTGAAGGAGCAACAGTTCATCTTCAGGAACCTCTCAGCACTTAAAAGGGAGTAAGAAAAGTCAAGCTAAAGACTTAAAACAAGCTCACTTGGGAGGAATTCCCATGTTTATCTCTGTAAATATTGCTTTATTTCTTGTTATTTTTAATGTGTTTCTTTAGTATTTTTGATTTACAGGCAAAAAGAGGAAGGTTTTGGTTCAGGAAAAGCTCAGGAAAATTTTTCTGCAGAAACGGTATAGTACTCGAGTACTGTACTCGAGCAAGCCACTCGAGCAGCAACCAGAGCACCAATTCGAGCAACCAGAGTAACAACCAGATCACACTGTTCCGAGCTCATCCCAGCTAGTACCTTGGAGCTACACGAGTGAGAGCATGGATGACTACGTCTCTGCTTTCTTCACCTAGGCCAGGTAAGGACTCCACTACACCATTGTTTATACCATCTTTCATTTTGTTTCTCTGTTGGTTTGCCCTGAGTACTCTCTTCCAAGCTTTTGTTACACAGAGGACTGTGTAATTTAAGTTTGGGGGAGGGCTCAGGAAGTATTTGACATCGTTTGTTTTGCTCTTATTTTCAAATTTTGTATCATTGCATCTAAGGCATAGAAAAACCATAAAAATTTGAAAATTTTCGAAAATTGTTTCACAAAAACAGAGTGTTCATATAGCTTGCATTGTCATTTTAGGATTGTTTTAGTATGCTTTCACTTAGGGCTGTTGCATCATGCATTTGCATTGGAGATTATGATGATAATAACCTTGTAAATATGCTTATTCACTAAGTAGAACTCAGTGCCCAGGTTGTTAGTTCTCTAATGCGTAATCGATTGAACTTGAAGTAAGACCGCACCATCTTTTGAATTCGAAGCTTGATTTTCTTGTTCTTAGTTGAAACTCGCTTTGATCTAATGCCTTTCCCTATCAATTTGAACCTGAATTTTGACTTGCAATTATCATACTGTGCATTGTGTTATGAACTCATGGTTACCTTAAAATACTTGGACTTTCTTTTACCTTTTGATCCCTCTTGCTAGTCCAAGTAGCTGACTCCCATCTTTGGAGCAGTTATTCCCTACCCTAAACCTTAACCTTCTTTCAAGCCATTTATCATTTGTGTGTGACTGTGAGGCCTTATTTCGATTGAGCTTGGTAGAAAGTGTTAGGTCTGTACCGACAAGGATAGTATCTCATGTAGTTCTAGTTCACGTTATATGGACTAGATAGGACTAGGTGGGTGCTTAATTCTGGGTTTGGGTTGTGCTTAAAAGAAAGAAAAGGTTGTGTTCATCACTGAAAGAAAAGAAAAGGGAAATGAGTCCTTAGGAGAAGTAGCTAAAGTAAAATAAAGTCTAGTAAAGGATTTGGGAGTGTTAAAGTAAAGAAAAGGGTTCTGTAATAGCTTAAAGAGAAAGGCCAAAAAGCCTTGTGTTATAAGAAGAAAGAAAAAGGAACCCTAGTTGTTAAAGAAATCCTAATCCGCTAGACAGAGCAAAGTAAGAATGCTTCTCCTAAGATAGAAAAGCAAAGAAAAGAAAGGAATGATGTGAGTAAAAGTCTGTAAATACTTTGACTGCAAAAGGGTAGAGTTAAGTTCATATTCTGGGATTAGAAATAGGACCTCCATTCGGGTTGATATTGGTTACATTCTGGGTAGATGGGGTCTTATCCTTGTATGCATAACTTGGAACTCACCTTTAGCATTCTACTAAAGCTCAATCATTCTAGAGAGATCCCCTGTTACGATTTAAACCAGATCTTTAAGGGACCATCTTTGTCTCTAGACCTGCACCCTTAAGCCAAATGAGTTCATATCCATTGCATTGTATGATCCACGGTTCTCACTTAATCAATGTTAAAGGGAATGTGCTGAGGTGATTGCTTGAATTGATTAAGGCAGAAGTTAGGTTGAGATGTGAAAGAGATGGCTAAAGTTTTAAAGTAGAGATCAGTCAACCTTGCATTCTAGAATTAGCAACCTGGACATTGAATTCACTTACTCTATATGCATGTTTTGGTTCTGAACCCCCACCTTCAAACCTCTTCTCCAGCTTAGTTCTATTTGTTTGCTTGAGGGCAAGCAAAAGCTAATTTTGGGGGAGTTGATATCTCTGTATTTTACCTCTTTTTAGCATACATTTGCTATGCATTTAGCTTAGTATTCACTCTTATTTACTGTCATTTGTAGTCATTTTGCATCACTTTGCATACTTAGAGTATTCTACATTAGCATAGCATGCATTCTTGCATTTTGGAGTTGTATCTGGTACATTCAGGTACTAAGGAGCAGTGCCAGAGCAGTGTACTCGAGCAGTGCAAGAGCAGTGCAAGAGCAGTGCTAGAGCAGTTCCAGAGCAGTTGCCAGAGCAGTTCCAGAGTAGTGTACTCGAGCAGTGTACTCGAGCAGAGCCAGAGCAGTGTACTCGAGCAGATTTCTGAAGAGAAGACCAAGACATACTCGACCAACCTACTCGAACAGGCTACTCGAACTGGACCTGAGAGACTTACCCGAGCAAGATGCAACCTTTGAAGAATGGACTACTCGACCAAGCCACTCGAGTACCAGCTCGAGTAGACCTTAAACCGACTTTCTATTTTGTCGTTTTGTGTACTAGGGTTTTCTACTTTTGCTATAAATAGACCTCTTAGGGCTTTGCCCAAAGGATCTCGTTTTTAGCCTCTGAGCAATATTTTCTGCAACTTTTTGTAATCCAAATTACTTTTGATCCTTTGAGTTTTTGCAATTATTTCCTTCTGCAAAGTTGTTTATCTTGCTTTGATCTACAACATATGATGTTTTTAGCGATTTCTGGGTTTGTGCAAATTTCTGGGTTTGTGTTCTTGAGCATGTCTGAGTAGTGGATTAGGGTTCTTGAGGATGGGATAGATTAGGTGTGGAATCCTTAGTTTATTTAGGTGGTTAAGTGTAGAATTGCTTGAATCCCTTCTGGATTAGTAGTACTTAGTGCTTATTCCTTTCTAATCAACTGGGATTTGAACCCAGACATTTCCACACCCACCAGGTGTTCGATGAAATGTCTGAACCAACTACTCCAGAGATTTACATACTCTAGCCCAAGAGATTGGATGTTTAGAATGTTTATTGACTATATTAGATCGAATCTTATTGCCTGCTTTGCTAGATTTCGCTAATGATGATTAGGTCTGGAACTGGTATTGCTTGAGGATCTCTGTCACGAGAGTGGATTGATCTGTAGTTGAATCTATTGTCTAGGGATAGCCTGTTTGGATTGTTAACCACCTAAGTAGATTAAGGAGACCGCTATAATCGATTACCCTATCCTCAGGACCTTTTATCTCATTTGATTTACTTGTCTCTTTACCTGTTGCTTGTTTGTTGCTGCTTAGTATTGATAGTTCTTTCTCTTATGCATGTTCACTCTTGTTCTGTAGTTTTATCGTTTTTATGCATGTTCGCTTAGTATTGCTAGATAACAAAACAATATTCTGCTTGGCTTGACTTAGTATTCTCTGATCACATCTTGATTGATAGTAAGAGCACCTGATTGGATTGATAACCTTATATACTGCAATGACATGAAAGTATATTAGGGTAATTGATAGTAAAATCCTAGTATCATAGAGACATCTTATGGTTAGATTTGGTTCAATTATATAGTTTAATCATGGGCTGCTATGTAGCTGCTGTCAAAGGATGGCTTCTTGGAGTCTTTGGCTAGTATGATCTTGACTTCCTATGGCTTTTCATACGTTCTGTGATTGGCTTCTCTTCTATCTAGTTTAGATCTCTACACAAGCCACCATAGGTTTTTAAAACTTTGTTTCACTTGTTACAATTTCTCGATTCGTTTTTAAAACTTTGTTTCACTTGTTACAATTTCTCGATTCTTTTTTTTTTTATGATTTCTTCTTCTCAATTTCTGCGTGCTTATTATTCTAAATAGTGAGAATGCTATGGACTGGAGATAAAACTCAGGTGTTGGTGCTAAATTCAGGAGCTTGAAGAAGAAGTTAAGCTTCTCAAAAATCTCTCCCATCCAAATATAGTTGTGAGTAATAGTTTCGGCTATGATTATACTATTGTCGAATCTGAGTTTTGGAAAGATTGAATTCACAAAACTATTGTGCGTCTCTACCTGATTCCTTAGAATAGTTTTTGTTGTGTAAACTGATGATGATTCCATGCCCTCCATGTGTTCGACGAATTGCCTCATTATTGGTTTGCTTGTTTCTTGACATTGTTTGGCGTTATGTACAGCTTATTACATTTAGTTCATTATTGAACTTAGTTATGGATCATTATTGAATCTGGTGTGACTAATTTGATTGTTGTTTTCTTTCGTGTGTTTTATATTGTGAAGTTACGAATGTAAAATCTGTCTAAAGGTGCATAACAACGAAAGAGACTACTTATCGCATCTTCACGGTAAGAGGCATCACACCAATTTGTATGATATAGTCAACTTAGCATATCAATTGAATATTATGGATATTTACTTTTTTCATATTCAGCTCATTTTCAAGAGAAAAAGTTCAGAGATGAAATGAAAACAGAGGTAAGCAAATGTTTTATTACTTGGTGTCCTTATGTAGCTTTTAAATTTGGGTACTTTTGTGCAGAACACTTCAGATAATGATCTTTATGATTCAGAATTTTCTGGTAAGTACTCTTTTCTCTTATGCTCTTGCTAAATCTGTACATGTTAATCATTTGTATCGAACCTAATATGTTTTGTTTCAATTGATTATCAGAACCTCCTCATTTAAGTAAATGGTTTCCGGACTATGTCTATGAATCACCGATGTTGGATACATGTTATGGTTTTGAATTCTCTGACCTTAAAGAAAGTGAAAGTATAAAGGATTTGGAAATTAAGAAAGAGACACTAACAAAAATCGATGACTTAGTCTCTTCTAAGATTGATGATATGACTGACTCGCAAGCTGCATATTCAGGTGAACAAATATATGTTATTGTTTTGGCTTTATTATAATGTGATGCGATTAAAATGATTCAATTCTGCAGTCAATATATGAATGTTTGTTTTGTGCATATTTCTGATTTGAAATGTTTGTTTTGTTATTTCTAACAGAGTTGGTAGTTGAGGATAGTGACATAGACGATGCCGTAATAGACAAAAACCGTAGAAGTCTTTTTCGAAGAGTGGCTAAGCGAAAACCTACAATACCAACCGTTGAAGAAGAGTTAACTTACTTGAAGAACCGAGTCAGTGATCTAGAAGACAAAGTAAGCTATTTGTATGATGTTATTAGTCGTCTTATTATCTCCAATGGCAACAATAGTAATTAGACGTAAGGATATTAGTTTAGGTATTGGATTCATATTTGATTTATGTATGAATTGGTGTTTGGTTCAAAAATGATGTTTGGTTTATGATATGATGTATATGTATGTTTTGGATGTTTATCACATATAAGACAGACCAAACAATAGCACAGACCAAACAGTAGCACGTAATAACAACGCTATCATAAAACTTGTGAGCGTCAAGAAAATATGCTATTAAAGGTAGTAATGGCATTCGATTATTGCTATGAAACAATAAATAAAGACATTAAAAAAGTGCTATTGTAGATGAACATACTATAGCAGACAAAATTAATGCTATTGTAGGTGGGGTATCTACCATAGCTGCCGCAATCATAGCAGTTGTTATTTCGCTATGTATTACCTATGATAGCATTTTTTCCGCGCTAAGAATGTAAGTTTTTCTTGTAGTGTTAACTTTATAAATAGTTTAAAGAGAATTGTTTATAAACAAAAAAAATTCTTATATACGTATATATATATATATTATTTACGATATACGGGACAAATCAATTCTTTTGGCATAATTTATATGTAGTTATTGAATGAAAACACTAACACATTTTCAACGTTTGAATTCCTGTGTTGGTATTTGGTAGAAAAAAGAGAGCACACACAACCAACAGCTCCAACTGCAGCTCTTGAATATGAATATAACAATCAAAACATTGTAGCTTGAATTCTTGAAGTTTCATTTTGCTTTCTTAATTAGCTAGTAATGATGAAGCCAGCATTTTAAAGGTTTTATATTTATTTAAGTGATAAAATTAAAAAATACCCCAGTTTACAACTAAGCACCCTACTATAAACAGCCTTGTTATATGTTTAAAATAAATTTCCTTAAGTAGTAAAGGAACATTAGCATGTGGTTTAACCGTAAATCCCACAGCCTGAACTTCTAACATGAGCATGTCCGGATCAATTCCTTTTTTCCTTATGAGATTCTCATATTATTAATTAATTTCTGCTAATAATAATGAAAACTAGATTGATGATCATCCGTCCTACCTTGCTTTACTAATAAACCCATTTTTTTTTCGTTTTTTATTGCATCTATACAAATTTCTTTTTCTTTTTGGTGAAAATTTTCCATATCTAGATATACTTCTTCTTTACGTTATAGAATGCTAACTTCCAATAGAGGTCACAATCGTATTAAGCTTAACTATGTATATTTAATTACAATCGACCTTTTATTTCTCTTGAGCTAAAAAACAAAAAAAAAAACCGAACTGAATACTAACCCCTAAAGTTTATATATATATATATATATATATATATATATATATATATATATATATATATATATAATGATGACACTTGTACACCAAACAAATGAATAAGAACCATTCAACTGGTTGATAAAAATTGAAAACGAAAAAGAACCAACTCAGTTTCATAAATCATTTGATTAAAAGATATGTTGTTGTTTTATCATATACAAAAGCCATATAAAGGCTTTAAGAAAGGGTCTTAAATTTTTCAAAACCTTTTAAGATTTTTTTTATTACTGGTTTTTGAGAATCCTTTTTAAAGTTATTTTTATAGGTTTATTTGTAGTTTTAAGAATTTTCTTCTTCCACCATAAGAATGAATTGAAAATATCTTAAAATACTGACAAAATTAAGATGATAAAAGTTGATAAATGACAAAACTAAGCTGCGTTCATATTATTAGCTAGGAGACAAATCTAATTCAATAATTAGGATAATAATGACATAAGTGCCGACCCGATAAAAGATCGCAAATATCTAATGCGTTTGGAAAGGAGTTTGATAAGCTTGTGTATACGCAATAATCATATTTTGTTTTTCCATTTCTATCCAAAACATGAACATTCTAATCTATTTTCTAATGCGATCGAGAATATAATCATTTTTAAAAAAGATTGTTTAATGATTAAATTAAAGTTTGATGTAATTGAGTTTCCCGAGAAAACCGGGGATGTTGGTACCTAAAATTCTGTGAAATGTTGAAAGTTTGCAGTTGGAGTGACTCGAGGACTTCAAGATTCGCCTCCAAACATTTTACTTCTCTATTTTTATCTTTTTTTAACTCTTCATCTGCCACGTCACTCCCTACCATCTGACCTAATCAATTTATATGTAATTATAATCAGTAGTAATCAACAAGGATTAAGGATTTTATTTGTCCATTACTAAAATTTATTCGCTGAGTATAAGAGTGACATACGAGTTTGATGACATAATAGATGTTTTTTTAAGTATGTAGTACTAATTTTAAAGTGTCTTTCCTTTTTAGTATCTAAATAAATAAAAAATTTCTTTTTTCTTAGATCTTTGACACTAACAAATAAATTTGTGCAGATATGTGCAGAAGCCAGAATGTACATATATACATATAACTAGTCTATATGCTATACAGTATTAAATAACATTCAGAATTTGAAACACATTATTCAATAGTTGTTAACCAAATCACAAAGCTAAATCACAATCAAAATTTCAAGCGCGTTATTCAGTTATTCAAAATAAGAATGTACGTTGTCAAATAAATAAACATGTATCTTATATCTTTTCATCCAAATACAAAATTTAGAAGTTTTGTGCTTTCTTAGCTTGTACTTTTTTTGTTTACATTGTCATAGACAAGTTGTGATGTGACATACTGAACTGGTTTACTCCGGTTCGGTTTGTACGCAATGGAAAATAGTTGTTTCATTGAAGAAAAAATGTGTGGGATTTCATCTTACGTGCCTCTTATATTAGAAAACAAAGTACGAGATTGGGTCAAGTAGTGAATGATTGAATTATATGAATTCTATTCAAATAGCTAGGCTTGTATATACATAAATTATAGATATGGACATATGGTACACCATTTTATTATTATAAAAAGAAGTAAGAAATGGTACATCTGTAACTATACAAATAGATTTGTAGGGCTGGATTCCCATAGCTGAACAGCATCCAATAACTCTATATTACAGTTCAATTATTTTTTGTGAACAAAAAAAAAAACAGTTCAATTATTTATCATAAGAAATAGTGTGTATATGTTTACTACTATTTCTAAGCAATATCAGTTATATATTGGAAAAATTAAAGGTATAATAGTTGTATGGTATATCAGTTATCTTTTGTAGTCCCGTATATTATATATATATTCTTAGAATATAGAAAAATTATGTTTATTTTTGTATTTTCAAAGTTCAAAATAAAAATGAATTTTAAGTGTATTGTGTTTTTTTTTTTTTTTTTTTTTTTGTTAAACGTGTATTGTGTATTTGTAAGTTGATGATTTCCTTTTTTTTTTCCAACGATATTTTTACATGAATACCTTTGTTTTTCGTTTACGAATATTGAATATCTGAAGTTCATCGTCTAAATCTGGATTTCGATGGATTTAGATCATATAATTTGAAATTGCAATTGCTTTGGTATCCACTCATAAATATGACATATGTGGCAAGACATTTGAACCATTTGTCGGATATTTGTTTTCCTGAACTTAAAAATTTTGCTTTCACAAATTTTATTTTGACTTGAACAATTCTTTTTTTTTTGACGACATTGACTTGAACAATTCATTTGCCGTTAATTCAAAATTCCATTCACCGTTTATTCCACATGATTAGCAAGAGAGTGTAGTAGCTAAGGGCCTAAGGCCTACATTAAATTATTGGGCTTATTTGGATATACAATTGGATAACTATTGGCCATTTGATTATAGTTTTTATTATAGATTATAGTTTACTCACAAAAATGCCCCTTTTTCAATACCTCTTTTCAAAAATGCCCACTTTGACTGTCCATTTTTAAAAATACTCCTTTTTATGTACAAAATAACTAAATTACCCTTCTTTTAATAAAAGATATCACAAATATATAAGGAAATATAACAAAATTAGGTCCACAAAATACAAAATATTTTTTGGCGGGAAAAGTGATCCCTTGATTTTTCCCGCCAAAACACTTGTAAAAAACCTTTAAAATACCTTGTAAAATTTTCCCCCAAAAATTTTTTTTGCGGGAAAAGTGATTCCGTAATTTTTTTGGCGTTAAATTTTTGGCGGGAAAAATTTACAAGGTATTTTAAAGGTTTTTTACAGGGTATTTATAAGATTTTACAATGTATTTTAAAAGGTTTTACAACGTATTTATAAGATATTATAAGATTTTACAAGCTATTTTATAAGGTTTTACAAGTTATAAGATTTTACAAGTTTTTTATAAGGTTTTACAAGTTTTTTACAAGTTATAAATTCCTTATAAAATTTTATAAGTACCTTGTAAAACCTTTTAAAATACATTGTAAAACCTTACAAAACACTTGTAAATACTTTGTAAAACCTTTAAAATACCTTGTAAATTTTTCCCGCCAAAAAAATTTCGCCAAAAAAATTGCGGAATCACTTTTCCCTCCAAAAAATATTTTGTATTTTTTAGACCTAATTTTGTTTCAAATAAGGGTAAAATGGTCATTAAAAATTAAAAGAGGGCAAACTTAAAAATGGACTCTCAAAGGGGGCATTTTTAAAAAAGGGTATTGAAAAAGGGGCATTTTTAACAATTTCTCTTTTTTCTTTTCATTTTTATTTATTTTAACTTTTTGTTTAATTTACTCTAAATAATATCTGCCACAAACATCTATCCATACAACCTTATTTCAAAATAACCCAAGGATCTTTTATTATTTTAAATATGATTTTGCAAAAACAATTTTATAGAAATGTACTTCACAAATAGATATACTATAAATTAAAAAATTAATTGTTAGAAAAATAGCAATTTACATATAAATTATTTTGAAATAAAGAGGTTGTATATAATATTTTATCTAATATTTATGTTATAATACTATTTTGTTTTTATTTACTATTCAAATCCGCTTTTCAGTTTTTTTCTCCATTCAAACATACAGTTAAACAACTTAATCCGCTTGATATGCACTTTTACAGTTTCATCATTTTGATACGCTTTATTTGCATTTTATCCAGCATGATTCGCTTGATATGTACCGCTTAACATGCTCTCTTTATACGAAACCTAACTGTTGAGAATAAATTTTGCTCATAAAAATAATCAGCTAATGAAATCGAAATACGTGGGTCGACGACATTCATTGTCGTTTGATGCGGAAAATATTAAATTTAAAATCCGCCTCTAACCGTTGAAGTTCTTCCTGTAAATGATTGGCGTTTTTGATATGCTGACGTTCTTGTTCAGGCGATCAAACAAAAACATCCTTTAGTTGTATGATCATCCTAAAGTTGTCGGAATAGAATGTAATATTGTATCGCTTTTTCCAATTTTAACTAAACATTCTTAAATTTCAATGTCGGGGATTTTCAGAAAATAATACCGTTTTTGTAAATGATACCGATTTTTTTTGTACCAAATTGTTTTCTAGAATATGTCAGAGCTATCGTAGATGACATACCAAAAATTATACTCCTTCCGTTTTATATTAATTATCGTTTAAATTTAAAATATTATTTCAAATCGAATATATTTTAATGTAATGTTTGGTAGATTTTGAGTTTTATTTTTATTATTTTAATATATTAATCAATGGAAAATCATTTGATATATTAATAAAAAATAAATTAAAAATTAAAAATTATTGTTGATATATAAAAGTACTTTAGATGACACTTATAATAAAACGAAAAAAGCATATGAACAAAAGAATAATCTTCATGGCTAAGTTTCATAATTAATATATGCTGACAAAAAACGAGAATAATCCACAAATCTTTCTAAAGAGTTGCATATGCAAACAAACTCTACGAGATATACTTCAAGCTAGTTCAAACTTCGATAAAACCATTCTACAATTTTCCATTTTGTTTTATATAATTCTTGTATTATATAATTTGATATCCAAACAAAACAAAACCTGGCTCTAGGAGTAAAATGTTTTTTTACACAATATATTATGTTTATTCGTTTATAATCAAGATAAATTCATCTGGAAAAAAACTATTAAAAAACTATATAAATAAAAGAAATACTCTAAAATATATATTATTACACTATTATATCTTATAAATAATAATATAATAGTCAGACAAGAAAAAAAAACGTTGTTACACCATATGAGATATGTTTCGAGATGATAAGATTGGGACTTATATATATTATTGTCAATATCGATTAGTATTGATGTCTTTTCCGCAAATTGTTAAGGCATTTAATTGTCCATAGACAATTAGGGGTGTGCGACTATAAAATGCGTATTATAGATGACATGTTGACAAAAAAAACAAGATGTATATTAAATGCTTTATTATTATTAGTATTTTGGTTCATTTATAATTCTGTTTTAACTTAAAATCGAAATTCCAAAATGAATTTTACGGAAAAAAATGTTCGTTCAGGCAGAGGCAATTGGTCGTTTTTTTGTTTATAAGCACTTACTTATGTTATGTATTTTAATTAGCTGCTCAGGCAATTAATTAATCATTTTCGTTTAATTTTATTTGCTCTTTAGGGCTTATTTCTCGGGTTGAAAATCGTCCTAATGAAAGGGAAAGTAAAATCACCTCACATTATCCAGAACAAATATTTTATTATATCGGGCCGTCGTTTAAGTCATCCTATCTCAAGATATACAAATAATATCCACTAATTATCCACACCAAAGAGATCAAATATATGAATGATTATATAAACTGATTCCGTAGAAAATAATAATCAATAATTAGTTAGTTGGAGAAGGACGTGATCACAACGTGGTATGACCATGATGCAAGTATATCACCAACTGCTTAAACTATTAATCACATTTACGACATTATTATTGTATAATTGCATAGACCTTCAATGGTAAGACCACATCAAGCTCTTTTTTTAATAATACATGTTAAAAGTTGACTTATTCGAGATAAGTTTGATCTCGTATTGATTTTAGTCATTTTATGAAGATATGTGGAGCTTCGGGTCCACAGATCTTAAATTTGAATTCAGAAATGTCCATATATAAACCTCAATGATCTAACTCTTACACTCGATCAAACTTGGGATATCAAATTAGCAATGATATAAACCACTACCCAAGTCCCAAAACATTTTCATAACAGATTTGCTTAGTTGATATAATATAATTTATCAATAGTAGTGCCTTTTGTACGATCTGAAAAATCAACCATCTTGTACTCACTAATAACCAAAACAAAACCGTCCCCTAAATTAATGTATCACACGTTCTTATAATATCATCTCCTATGATCTTACCATCACTTTTTTGTTCCCTTCCGAAGCCAAAAAAAGACAAAAAGAAATAAACGACGAGGCTTTTGCTTATTTTATAAAGCTCTTTCACCGGCAAATTGGTCCTCATGAAACCGGGAAGTCCAATTACTTACCTCCACCGTCAAATCGTTAAACCATTTGCAACCATCGATGGTGGTCATGTCACGTTTAAGCTTCTACTCTTCCTTCGTCCTACTACTGTTACAGCTCGCTGTCGCTCAAACCGAGTTTGCTAATGATGGAGGAAGGACAAATATCAGTCCAAGCATGGTTATACTCATGATCGTACTCGTTAGTGTTTTTTTCGGAATTGGATGTATCTCCGTCTCCATGCGGAGTTGTATCGAGCGAGCTACAGGGTTGGGCGGCTATAGTCGCCAAGGAAACTGGCGTAACGTGAGGCAAACGACGGCGCGTGGGCTCGACGCGTCTGTTATAGAAACGTTTCCAACGTTTCGTTACTCTACCGTGAAGACGTTGAGGATCGGCAAAGAAGCTTTGGAGTGTCCCGTTTGCCTCAACGAGTTCGAGGACGACGAATCGCTGCGTTTGATTCCTCAGTGTTGTCATGTGTTTCATCCTGGTTGCATTGAGGCTTGGCTCCGTTCTCAAACAACATGTCCTCTCTGCCGTGCCAATCTAGTTCCTGTACCAGGTGAATCTGTTTCTTTGGAGATACCCGGTTTAGCTAGAGAAACCGGTCAGAGCTCTCTCGGGACGCCGATTGATGATAACGGGAAAAGGGTTTTGGCTTCACCGGACGAGCGGTTGATTGACTCTGTGGCTTGGACGGGTAACCAAAGCATGCCATGTAAGTCCATGTCTACAGGTTGGAAACTAGCTGGATTGTTCAGCCCGACTAGTTCTCCCGGTCAACCAGAGGAGAATCTCGACCGGTTTACACTGAGGTTTCCACAAGAGATACACGATCAGCTCGTGAAATCCAGCCGAGGAAACCAAGGGTCAAAAGACCATGTGGCGTTACCTCAAGCAAGGAGCTCAGTTAGAGGGTACAGAACCAAAAGCCTAGGGACTGAAAAGAACTATTTCTACTCTGAACGGTTTGATCAAGACGGTCGATTAGACCGAAGACCATTTTCTATAACTCCTCCGTACCATACCCGGTCGATCCAGTCTCCGGATGAGATTATCAACGGTAGCGGTAATTATCAGGAGCGTCCTGGTGCACCTAAAGGTTTGCTTCTAGCGATAAGGTCACCCTTTGATCGGTTATTCACCAAGAAGAACAATGTCGGTGAACGTTCGTACCTGCGATCCAGCGATGCCAGCCCTGCCTAGACGGATTTATACTATTTGGTTTATTAAGATATTTCAGAAATAAAGAAAATCTGTATATATAGTTTCTTTCTTCTAGTTTCTATATGTTATATTCGCGAAATTTAATTCCTTCACCAATATAATGCATCTATTACTGAAATACAGTAGTAATAAAAGATGGACCATTTTGTTCTATTATCCAAAACAAGTTTCCTAAGTCTAACAGTCAAAAAGAAAGGGTCAAACAAGTAAACCATGTCACTTAGTACTTCAACTGTGATGATTAATGATGTGAAAACTTCAAAGAGATTCACGAACCACCGTGACGGAAATAGAGAACAGATCGGTAGAGAGCAGCGACATGGAGGAAACAAATCAGGGCATTGAGATCAGATATATGAATGAGTATATAAACTGATGATCCCTTATTCAGCCGAGACACTTGGCTATGCCCTTTGTGAAATGCACACTAGGAAACGGGGAGACGGCGAGCTTCTGGTTTGATAACTGGTGTCCGCTTGGTCCCCTCATTAACTTCGTTGGTGATAATGGCCCGATGGACTTCCTAATTCATACCCAAGCCTCTGTGGCTGATGCTTGCGATGACTTCGGTTGGAAAATCCCTCCTTCGATTCTATGTCAGTCCATTACTCTAGGCTCTAGCTTCTCATCTATCTCAAATCTCACTCCCTCTTAATGCGATGGAATCTGATTGTTATAGATGGGTGATTCAGAACAAGAAGTTTCAGTCTTTCCCTACCTCCAAAACTTGGGAGATTCTTCGACCAAAAGACACTTTAAAAGAGTGGGTTTCCTCATTTTGGTTTAAAGGAGCCACCCCAAAGCATGCTTTCACTATGTGGGTCTCCCAACTGGAAAGATTACCGACAAGGGCCAGGCTTGCTTCATGGGGACTTCCTATTCCTGCAACTTGTTGTCTTTACTCTGCTTTGGACGAAACTCGTGACCATTTGTTGATGCGTTGCAGCTTTAGCGAACAGGTCTGGCAGCTTATTCAGCTTAGGCTTTGGCTGTCTCCTTGTGTCTTCTATACTTGGTCCTCTCTCCTTGCGTGGACAAAGTTGAGAGCTGACTTCTCGCCTCCAATACTCAGGAATTTAAACTTGCGGCCCATGCCGCAGTCTACCATATCTAGAAGCAGAGGAATAATCTCCTTCATAACCAAATTTATGTCTCGCCTGCTCTTCTTTTCAAGGAAATTGATAAGGAGCTGCGTAATACGATCAGCGCTAGGCGCAACCATAAACAATTCAGAGATCTGATGGTTCTTTGGATTAGATAGCTTTGTTGATTGACACTCAACTTGTGTTTGTATTCTTGTTTTTTATTTCCTTTTTGGCAAGTTTACAAAATTTGGTTAAGCTTTTTGGTATAACCTCTCTTCATTATATATAATATTCACATTCCTATAATAATAATAAAAAAAACTGATGATTCCACAAAAAATATTAATCAATAACTAGTTGGTTGGACAACGACGTGATCACAACATGGTATGACCATGATACAAGTATATATCACCAACTGCTTAAATTATTAATCACATTTACGACACTATCATTGTGAAATTGCGTTGACCTAGAATGGTAAGACCACATCAAGCTCTTGTTAAAGTTGACTCATTAGATATATGTTTGATCTCGTATTGATTTTAGTCATTTTACGAGAATATGTGGGGCTTCGGTTCTACAAATCATAAATTTTAATACAGAAATGTCCATATATATATATATATACCTCAATAATCCAACTCTTAGACTCGATCAAAAAAAAAAAAAAAAAATTGTTAAAGGACTCGATCAAACTTGGGATATCAAATTAGCATGATATAAACCACTTCCCAAACCTGTTGATTTATCCGATTAATTTGTTTCGTTTATAAAAACACAAATAAAACCATCAAAACAATTCACTTTTGGATTATATACATCTTCATAACAGATTTGCTTTGTTCATTATAATATAATTTATCAATAGTAGTGCCTTTTATACGATCTGAAAAGTCAACCATCTTTGTAGGCATTAAGCAAAGCAAACCGTATTCTAAATTAATGTATCACACGTTCTTATAATATCATCTCCTATGATCTTACCATCACTTTTTTGGTTTCTTTCGAAGCCAAAGACAAAATGAAATAAACACCGAGGCTTTTATTTTATTTTATATAAAGCTCTTTCACCGGCAAGAGCTTTGGTCCTCATGAAACCGGGAAGTACAATTACTTACCTCCACCATCAAATCGTTAAACCATTTGCAACCATCGATGGTGGTCATGTCACGCGTAAGCTTCTACTCTTATTTCTTGCTACTACTGTTACATGTCGGTCTCGCTCAAAGCAGCGATTTTGATAATGATGGAAGGACAACGTTCAGTCCAACCACGGCTATAATCTTGATCGTAGTCGTTAGTGTTTTATTCACACTTGGATGTATCTCCGTCTACATGAGGAGGTGTCTCCAGCACGCTCTTGGGATGGACAGCGGTGGTGGTCCAGGAAACTTGCTTAACGTGAGGCAAACGACGGAGCCTGGGCTCGACGCGTCTGTTATAGAAACGTTTCCAACGTTTCGTTACTCTACCGTGAAGACGTTGAGGATCGGTGAAGAAGCTTTGGAGTGTCCCGTTTGTCTCAACCAGTTCGAAGACGACGAAACGCTGCGTTTGATTCCTCAGTGTTGTCACGTGTTTCATCCTGGTTGCATTGATGCTTGGCTCCGTTCTCAAACCACATGTCCTCTTTGCCGTGCCAATCTTGTTCCTGTACCGGGTGAATCTGTTTCTTTGGAGATACCTGGTTTAGCTGGAGAAACCGGTCAAAACTCTCTCGGAACGCCGATTGATGATAACCGGAAAAGGGTTTTGGCTTCACCGGATGAGCGGTTGATTGACTCAGTTACTTGGACAGGTAACCAAAGCATGCCACGTAAGTCCATGTCTACAGGATGGAAACTAGCTGGATTGTTCAGCCCGTCTAGTTCTCCTGGTCAACCGGAGGAGAATCTAGAGCGGTTTACGCTGAGGTTACCGCAAGAGATACACGATCAGCTTGTGAACTCCAGTATGGGAAACCAAGGGTCAAAAGGTCAACTGGCGTTACCTCTAGCAAGGAGCTCGGTTAGAGGGTACAGAACCAAAAGCCTAGGGACTGAAAAGAAGAACTATTTCTACTTTGAACGGTTTAATCAAGACGGTCGGTTGGACCGAAGACCATTTTCGATTACTCCTCCGTACCATACCTGGTCGATCCAGTCTCCAGATGAGATAATCAACGGTAATAGTAATTATCAGGATCGTGCTGGTGCACCTAAAGGTTTGCTTCTAGCAATAAGGTCACCCTTTGATCGGTTATTTACTAAGAACAATGTCGGTGAACGTTCGTACCTTCGATCCGGCGATGCAAGCCCTGTCTAGGCGAATTACACTACTATTGGGTTTATTAAGATATTTCAGAAAAATAAGAAAATCTGTATATATATTTTCTTTCTTCTAGTTTCTTTCTGTTATCCGAGAACTTCAATTCCTTCACCAATATAATGCATCTAATACTGAAAGTAATAAAGGAATGGACCATTTTGTTTTATCATCCAAAACAAGTTTCCTAAGTCTAACATTCAAAAAGAAAGGGTCAAACAAGTAAACCATGTCACTTAGTATTTCAACTGTGATGATTAATGATGTAAAAATTTCGAAGCGATTCACGAACCACCATGACGGAAATAGAGAACGGATCGGTAGAGAGCAGCCACATGGAGGAAACAAATCAGGGCTATGAGTAGATCATCTAGTAAACCGATAACCCCCAAGACTCCTGACAAGAAATCGATACAAAGTATTGGTCAGTAAGGTAAGTTGATAGAAGAGAAGAGTGTATTGTATGAATATAGTCAAGGGATGAAATGCGGAATACCTTCAGGAATGATATCTATTGGGCTGATTATGTAAATCGCACTGAGTATCAACTGCATCAAATAAAATGCAGTGAATTTTGTGTTAGTCAGAGCATTCTTTAGTTCATATGTGATCAAGTACTCAAAGTTGTGAACATTTAATCGCAGAAGATTTACTTAATAAGCGAGATAAACTTATACAGGGTACAAAAGAAATGAATGTGTTTAGTTTAACTAACCGCAATATAAACACGAGCTCTGATGACGAGTGGAAGCGTTCTTCGTGGATCCATCATTTCTCGCAACAACTTCGGAGTAAGAAGGGAAGATCTTGCATCCTCTGAAAACAAATTGAAGTTTCATGTGAGAAGGCTCCAGTAAACTCTAGATTTATGTCTAGGCAAAACTTATGCGAAGCATGACTTTGTAGAAAAGCGATAACAAGATAATGAGATCGAAAGCATTCATCCCTCAATTGCTAACAGGATGAAAACAATGAGAAAACCAATAAACCACCAAAAGTTATACATGTAAATAAATCCCACAGTCTAGAGTTAATCCTTCAACTGCAATATTTGTTATACTGGTAAGTTACAATTGAAATATCCTTCTATACACTCAAGAGCTAAGCCAATATGTAAATCCTTAAGTACATACCCTCAACAACTACTCTACTTATCACCAAACTTAGCTCTTGTCCGTTATAATCTGCAGAAATTGTGGATAAAAGACCAAACACATACCTGAATAAGTCCACTTGACTGTCCACCAAAGACTCGGTTGTAAGTTTCAACATCGTGAAGAACCTCGGAAACCGTAGCATCATTCCGACTTCTCACTGTTTCCTCAGAAGGAACTAGTAAACTAATGGGACGACGGCACAAGGGACATTTGCATGGCCGTAATGTAGATCCATGCCTCCAAACAAGCATAATGCAGTTTCCTACAATGATTGAATTAGAGTTAATATCTCATGACCTGCACTGAAGAAGACTAGATTATGTGAACATACAAAATCTGTTAAGCCTAAGCAAAGTCAGAAGAATATAGTTGAAAATCTCCAGCAGAGAATGCAACTTCTCTGATATTCAATGTTTACCAGTAAAACAAACTCTGAATAGTGAATTTACAAGTCCAAAGCAAAATTGTCAAGAAAACTGAACCAGCTTCAGAGGAAAACGAAAATTAAGATCATCACAACTCGATTTGATCGCATAAAGGTAGCTCACGAAGATTCATGATAAACTGAATTCTCGATTTCTGAGATTAACTACGACCGATTCCAGAG